ATTTAATTACCTTTCTATCCTCTATCCTCTGTGTCTGACCCATATTAAATGTTCTTTAAAATGTTTATCATGTGAATAACTGAACAAATGCAAGCATACTGGTAAGCAATTTTTGAGAAGGGTCTGTATATCAGTCTTTGTTTCCATTGCTAGAAAATGATGGAACTTCCAATCTCTCATCATCAAAGTATTTCACAAAGCTGTATAAACAAAATGTGTTAGCATCTCTCAGCTTCTCAATTATGTTATAATCAGCAACAATTAGATCTTTTCACAACAGGTCTTCCTTCAATCAATATATTCTCTTTTCTAAATCCTTCCCTGTCTTGTTTGTTCAGGCTACTGTAACAAAAATATGCCATAAATTGGGTAACTTATAAACAAGTGAGATTTACTTCTCACAGTTCTAGAAGCCAAAAGTCCAAATTCAAGGCACTGACAAACTATATCTAGTGAGAGCCTGTTTCTCATGGATCATACCTTCCTTTAAATGGCACAAGGAGCAAACTAGGTCCATTGGGCCTCTTTGATAAGGTCATTAATACCATTCATGGCAACTATACCCTGATGACCTTGTCACCACCATTTAACACTATTACATTGATGATATAAATTTCTGAATATACAGCCTGGTTATTGTTAGCTTTGCTTTTGAAAAAAATAGTATTAGTACAGCCTCCAATCTTTTCCTCGATACTACCTACTAGTCTTACTTCTCTATTTCTATAGCAATGTTTCTTAACCATAACAATGCATTATAAGTTCCTCAAAAGTTTGTAAGAACCTGGATAAGCACTGTGAATGCTTCCCCTTATGTAACAGCCATTCCTATTCTAGGGCAAATCTTTGTACCAATAACTCTTCCCCATGTACCTGGTTTCTAAATCCTTGATATACTGGAGGCCAGTATTTGGTAGTATCACAGTTTCTCAACAGCATTGTTAAAGTGTATCTATCCAAGTGGATAAACTACATCATGCTTTAATTAGCTAGCACACATAAAAGGGAACCATTGCATCCCTTTACCTGAGTATCTCTATCATGGACTATGATGAAATTTTAGCACTTAATATTACCGCAACAGCTCTTACTAAGTCTTTACTCATGTAAACTGCTACCAGGCTAGGGCCTCACCAATCTTAGTTTCTTGTAATACTTACTGTTCCAGCATCAGGTCTTTCTGGCTTGAAGCATGTCATTTTTTTCTACATCTAAGTCTCTGAGTAAATGTTCAACAGAATGGGTCCACAGAAAGTATCACTTATGCTTTTTCAAATTCCTCAGTAAACTATTGTATGTTCTTATTTTGCTACTTCTTTAAGACCAATTTCACCCTCATGGATTTCCCCTGATTCCTATGATACACATAAGACCACTTAAATTGTTTACCAAAACTGTAAGACTTTTAGAGTTAGAAGGGACTTTCCAGGATCATCTAGTCTTGCCTAACTCTATTTACAAAGAACAGGAAATCAGAAAAGTTTAGTTACATACCCTAGGCTAGTAAGTAGTTTATCTGGGGACAGAACTAAGGAATTCTAAATACAAGTATATGATACTCCTTCTATTATAGGCTTTCTTGTATTTTTACTTATTCTCTAAATGAAATAAACTATTGTTTATTATTATTTGTTTTATCTAAAACAATGTTCAATTTTTGTTTTAACGAGTATTCTGGTTACCACCCAAAGAGAGCACATATCCTGTTTCCTTTACTTATTTAAGTCCGTTCAGGGAATAGGTGAATGGATAACCTATCTCTACTCTGAAAAGCTGGCAAAATAAGCAGAAATTTTAAGGTTCCACAGGGATTGAGGAAAGGAATATTTTGGCTACAAATCTTAGATCCTGGCCCTGGGACTATAAATACATTTAAGAGTAACAATTAACTTCCTAAGACTCAGACAAGAGAATAATTTTATCATTTTATTAATAAGATGATAAATACTAAATCACAGTATCACAATAATTTTTATACCATTTCTGATTGATTTATGGTCAACATTACTTATGACCACACCGACATATAGAATCCATTGTATTGGTAGTAACTAACAACTATCATCTACCTCCCTATCAGAAAATAAGCTGTGTAAGAATTAATGTTAGTTTTTCACTCTATGATTTTTGCCTGCTTTGGGTAGACGTGCATAAATGTTTTCATAAATAAGTCCTCTGAAAAGAAAACTAGTCCCAAATCTGGAAATGTACAGATCTAAAAAAATGTAATAATTCTCCAAAAAGTAAACAGAAGTTATGAGACATTCCACAAAAATACCTCATGTCCTAGCCACCAAAGCTAACAAAAGAAATAAATGAATCCTCATATTAAAATTATAACATTCTTTTTCAACAAAGTGCTTACTCCTCTTCGTTTTGCCCTTTTCCCTGGAATCTCTCGTCAGGTTACCCTTTGTTTCCTTAGATTCCTTGTGCATAAGAGACTTCTACAACAACTCCTCTGTTCATTTTTTAGAAATACCAAGCAAATAGTCAAGGAGATCTAATAAGTTCACTCCTAAGGATCATAAAAAGATTATCAGCAGACATACAGACTAGACTTTTTTAAGTTAGTACTAGTATTTTACTAATGCTTTTACTAAATGTTACTTTACACAGTTTCTACAAAATCTAGAAGTAGCAAAACACTATCATGTTAATTAATTCAAAGGATGAGGATACAGGAATCTGTTCACTCAATCGCTTTTTCTAATGTTTTTAGTATGTTTACAATTGATTTATTTCACCTTCAAATGTCTGTGCTAAGTTGAAAATTACTGAATTAGAATTAACTGCATATAATCCAAAACATTGGATGTCCTTTTCCTATTTGTTAAATTTTCAGACCAAAGCGTTTTAAAATTATTTTATTTAGCAAGTCAAAACTAATTCTTGATATATTACCATCATTTAGCTTACATTACATAAACAATACTAAGTACTAACTTATATAAACCCAAGTTCTTTCCATAGTCTCCCTTAAATTCACCAAAGTGAAAAATCTAAATCAAAAACAACAAAATTACAGATTAAAAAAAAAAAAGAATAACTTACTGAAAAACTCTTTAAAGGTGTTTAACCAATCCATCTGAATAAAAATCCTGTGTTCTCTTTTGTAAGTTTGTTAACACAGCTCAGGATAATTCTCAGTCAGCTTCCTGGTCTGTTCTGCAACACTGAAACTTCCCACACCCAATCCATGTGACCTGGCTGACACCCAAGCAATAGAAAGTTTTTCTGAGGCTTCTCTCTTTCCAAAACCCTCACCCAACCCCAAAGTAGAAAAGAAGCTATAAAGCAAGTAAATCATCATGGCCAAAAATGTGACCTTATTATTTACAATTATTTTGGAAGAAGAAACATTATAGCACATATATATTTTTTAATAATTAAAAATATATTCACACGTTCATCCTTTTGTTTCCTCCTTTTCCTTAACTCCCAAACATTTTAACTAACTAGTTAGACTAGTATTTATACTAGTATAATCACTGTGAAACAAGTTAATTATATGGGACATTTAAGTTACCAAAAAGGGGTGCAGGGCTGGGGTTTAGCTAAGTGGTAGGGCACTTGTCTAGCATGCATGAGGTCATGGGGTTTGATCATCCCTCGTACCCACCCCCATCAAAAAAAAAAAAAAAAGCCAAAGGGGTGCAGAAACTCTTGAAAAAAAGGAGAAGGCAGACAGATGCAAAACAAGATTCATATCCTTATACAGGCTAACTACAGATCACTAATGTAAAGCCATGTTTCTGAACACCCTGGAATATAGGTAGCAATAACTATAATATTATAATAGTTAACAACAATTTCTTAAAATAGAGATAAGTCTTTGGCTCAGAGACTGACATTATAAATACTTAATGGAATTCTAACTTTCAATTGTACTGTATTTTAGCTTTTGCTGTACAATAGTTAAAAACATTTAACATTTGTCTTATATTGCTGATAGTTAAAAGACCTAGAATAACAATACTGTTGAATAAGAAATAAAAACTAATATAAAGCAGTGAGTCAAATAATTTTACATATTTGGGGACTGGGGTTGTGGCTCACAGATAGAGCACTCGCTTACCATGTGTGAGGCACTGGGTTCAATCCTCAGTACCACATAAAAATAAAATAAAGATACTGTGTCCATCTAACTAAAAATAAATATTTAAAAATTAATAATAATAATATTGCGTATTTGTCAATCATGCTACAATGATCCCAAACTATCTTTTACAAGGAGGAATTTTCTTTTCTTCTAGAACAGTTAAGCAACGGCATTTCTGCCTGAATAACAAAATTAATTTCTATCCCTCCCAATTCCTTCCTGTCAGCTAAGAAGAATTTAATTAAGAACACTTAAAAAAAAAAAAAAAGCCAGTCTTCAACAGTACATATTTCCTTCCTATCAGCTTAGCCAAGTCCAGCGTGAAGTAGCTACTGCTGCCTCTGAGCCTCACCTAAAGCCAGTAAAATCAACAAACTTATAGGAAGGATATCAGCCTTTTAGATGCTAATGATCCACAAATGTTTTAAAATAAAATGGTTTGTCTTTTAAAGTGAAGTTCAAAATGTCAAGTCATTAGATATTAAAATTTAGTAAAGTGCCATTTAAAATAAATTGCCTCGATTCCCAAGAAGGCTATACTGTGTTGTACTTACTTTTCCCTTCCTCAATTAGAGGCAGAATTTGCCTCTAAGTCTAAACTCCAACAGGATACTCTGAATCAAGGAGCTATAAGGTCAGAGTTAATTCTGCTCTTTAGTACCACTTGACCTTTGAACTAGGACCTGGATTTATAGAAACTACTAACTCTTATGACTGTCACAAGTCTCCTAGCTTGAACACCTGCTACAAAACCAAACTTATCTAATGATTAACTGAAATTCCAGTCCTGGCCTTTTCAAGTCAATTTTTCCCACTGGTGTCAATTTTGTACAGTGAACCAAGTTCCAGAATCCATTTAAAAGGAATTTGTTTTTCTTTCAATACAAAAGCAACTTACCTAAAGTGTCCTTTAGGTTTTTTACAATAGATGCTTTCCGAGCACTGTTTTTTCTTTCCACATAATTAGAAGGCACAAAACCTGTTTTATTCATGGAATTTCGAACTCTCCACCAGGATTTAGAATCATCCAGAAGCCATAATCTCTCATTCTTCTTGATGTCCAACTCTTGTTCTTGTTGGGCCACATAATCAAATTTGGCTACTACTACCACTTCTTCTGCCATCTTTTAGCAGCTTTAGCACTGTAAACAGAAAATATTTTTATATGAAATTCAAATAGTGGTAGTCTACATGCTTTTTCAAAAAAGACATCAAGATTACTGAAATCAAGGATATTGAAAGGCTAAAAGTAAAACTACAGAAAAAAATACAACAAATAACAATTTTAAAAAACTTGTAGTGTTATATTAACAGTGATGTTAAAGTAAGGCAAAAACCATTACTAGCAATGAAGTTCACCAAACAAATGACAAAAAGTTCTATTCATATAAATAAGATCAAAACTTTTATATACCAAATAGCAGAAACCTGAGCAGTGTTTTTCTTTCTCCACATAGTTTGAAGGCACAAAACCAAAATAAATACACTGAAAGAACCATAAGGAGAAACTGACAAATCTATAATTACAGAGGGTAATTTTTAATATTTACCTCAGTAATGAAACAATCTAAGAAACAAAAACATTAAGGAACTGATATCACAATAGTAAGTTTGATCTAATAGACATATACTTCTAAACAGAAGAACAGATATGGAACATACCACAAAAATAGATCAAATGCCAGGCCATAAAGCATGTTTCGCCAGGCATAGTGGCACACGCCTATAATCCCAGCAGCTCGGGAGGCTGAGGCAGCAGAATTGCGAGTTCAAAACTAGCCTCAGCAAATGAGAGATACTAAGCAACTCAATGAGACCCTGACTCTAAATAAAATACAAAACAGGGCTGGGGATGTGGCTCATTGGTCAGGTGCCCCTGAATTCAATCCCTGGTACCTCAAAAAAAAAAAGTCTCAAAAACTCTCATGTAAATGGTATCCCCTTCATCCATATTCTTTGGCGAACATAAAAAAAAAAAAAAAAAAAAAAAAGACAGCTTTTTAAGAAACCTTTTTGGAAACATCTAAAAACACATGAATTTAAGAGGGAATCATATAGGGTTTGGAAAGTACTTAGAAGTAAATGATAATGAAGACTATAGTCCTACTTTGTTGATGCAGCAAAAGGACTATGTAGAGGGAGATTTTAAAATAGTAAAAGAAGAAGAGCTAAACATAGGGCTGAGGAGTGTAGAGTGTAGTTCAATGGTAAGAGCCTACATTTAATATGCTTGAGGCCTTAGGTTCAATCCTCACCACAAAAGAAAGAAGGAGCTAAAAATTTAAATTAATGAACTGAGCACTTATCTTAAGCAGTTGGAAAAATAATATCTAAAGAAAAATAGGAAGGAAATAATACAAATAAGAGCAGAATTGCAGAATTTAATGAAACAGACAATAAAGATATACTAGAAAGTCCCAATAAATTGAAAATGTAGTTCTTTATCAAAACTAATATTTGAAAACATTTCTGAGGCAAAACTGATCAATTAAAAAAAGTACACCCAAATACCAGGAATAAAAAAAGAATCACAATTATAGATGCTGAAAACATTTAAAAGATCCAGCACTACTATAAGCAATTCAAATCTGAAGAAATAATACTAAATCAGTCATTAAGCAATCTTCCCACAATGCAAATGCTAGGTGATTTTTTAACATTTACCTCAGTAATGAAACAATCTAAGAGACAAAAACATTAAGGAACTGATATCACAATAGTAAGTTTGATCTAGAAGACATATACTTCTAAACAGAAGAACAGATATGGAACATACCATAGGCAAGTTCTAGGAACAAATCTTTCCAATTTATATAAACTATTTAAGAACAAATAAAAATAATTACAAGCCAATTTCACTCCTGAAACCAGATCAGATCTTTGCTTTCTTCAGAGATTTATTTGTGGGGGCAGGGGGGAGGGGTGGGCGGTAGTGCTTAGATTGAACCTAGGGTCTACACATGCTAGGCAAGCAATCTACCACCAACCTGCATCCCCAGCCTGAGAGATCTTACATAAACAGCTACCAATTGCCTAGCAAGCAAATAAATTCAGCTTTTTATTTGGATATTGACCAGTAATCTCTTTTCAACAATCTTTGAAGCAAGTTTCTTTTTTTATAATATCCTTAGAAAAATGCATTTTGATCCAGAATTAAAATGGCAAGCAAAGCCTCAAAATGAGTTACACATTGTTTACGCTTAAGCATGTAAAAAACTAATGCAAAAAAAGAAAAAAAAATGATTTGATATTCAAGAAACAATGATGAGGGCTGGAGTTGTCGCTCAATGGTAGAGTGCTTACCTAGCATATGTGAGGCTGAGTTCGAGCCCCAGCACCATATAATATTTGGAGGGATTATACAAAAATTTTTAAAAAAGAGGTATTATCTCTACAACTAAATAAACAAATAAAAAGAAACTATGATGAGCAGAGAAATCAGGAAAAAAATTATTTGTATTACTGCAACTTGATTTTGAAGTAATTTCAAACAGAAGATTTTCAACCAAGTAATTTTCAATTACTGGTACACTAAGGGAAAAAGTTACAACAATAAGCAATAGGCTATCTGAGAAAATGAAAAGCTAGAAGCAGAGTTTTTTTTTTTTTTTTCAAAAATACCTGGCAGCAACTCTGTGCCCCATAACCACCCATTTAATCCATTGGCTTAATGAAATTCAATTCTAGGTCCCAAGAGAATCTATTTTGAAACCTGACAAACTGATATGAAAATTTATCAAGAAAAGTAAACATGTAAAACTGGCAACAAATGTTCTGGAAAAAATAAGAATTGGTATGCTAACATTACAGGTTAGGTACCCAGCATTTCACAATGTCTGTTTTCCAAAATACCCTTCTACCAGCACCTCTTCTGTCATTAGCTTAGTCATGCAAGTTGGGAGGTTGATTCTACTTATAAAAGTAACTCTATAGACTAATCCAAGCCCCACCTGAATATTAGAATCACTTCCTGAACTTATCACAGGAGACCTACTGGGAAGTAGAGCCAGAGTTGCTAAAATAAGCACTGAAAGCTGCCCCCTGAACCTCCAGTTACTTGAGATAATAAATTTCTTTACTAAGATAACTTTAATTGGATTTTCTGTTATCCTCAGTAAAGGCAGTTACCCTATCAGATATCAAAATGTGCTTTAAAAAGAAAAATGGAAGCCCCCAAAAACCAAAAGCCAAATGTTGTCTTTGATATGAGAATGCAGAAGCATAATGGCAACTGGGTGGGGGAGGGGGGAAGCATGGGAGGATCAGAGGAACTTAGATAGGGCAAAGGGGAGGGAGGGGAAAGGAGGGGGCAAAGGGGTAAGAATGATGGTGGAATGAGTTAGACATCATTACCCTAAGACATGAATGGTGTGAAAATATTCTGTGTACAAATCAGTGTCTTGAAAAATTGTGCTCTCTGTGTAATATGAAATGAATTGCATTCTTCCATCATGTATAATAAATCAGAATAAATTTTTAAAAATAAAATATTTTTTAAAATGAAGTAACTTAAAATAAGATACTAGTACAGAAACAAATAGACCAACAGAATATTCATTGAGGTCTACAAAATACACACATAGGTGGCTTTAGAAGCCCTCTTCTCTAATATACAAGTTTTTGAGTTCTTATTTAGGCTTTTTAAAAGTAGAGAACTTCAAAGTAGGTGATGTATAATCTGAATATAGAAAAAGACATCGGTGTATAATCCCTCCAAATATTTAAATGTCTCTCCTAGACCAAATTCAATGCAAGTAACTTTTTACAGTGATTTCCTCTGGTAAGTTGTTTAAAATCAATCAATCTAGTTTTCACAAAAACAATTCTCTAATTTTAGCACAATTGTTTTGTTGTTTATATCATACATAAAGTTTTGACAAGAAGCACCTTTGAAGAAACTTTACATTTGAATCCCGGTGAGCAGATTCAATTTAATTGGGGAGAATCAAAATATGCCAATGTTATCAACTTATTATGCTTCACAATAGAAATGGATAGAGTTAATCAGGCAAGTCGGTTAAGAAATTTCTACTCTGTACATGCAAACATGAGAATTTTATATATGATAGGTGGCATTTCCCCGAGAAAATTAAGTTATTCGCCAACTGATACTAAGACAACTGGTTATCTATTTGGGAAAACAAACACACACACACACACACACACACACACACACACACACGAGACAAAGGACTTTCACTTCTGGGAAGTGAAATTGTGACACAGTGGTCAACTCCCTAGGTTATATTTTTACCCGACTTGAGATGAAGGTCAGTAAAATAGACACATAAATTGGCACATACAAAATAATAATGGGCCAAAAAAGAGATATCCTGGCAAGATAGAAATCTTTTAGGCAATAATTGCTCTGACTCCAGACAAACAAAACAGAGAAAATGTGGCCCCACCTACACCAGCAAAGTCCACATAGGAAACCTAGACTTCCAACTTTTCAGAGGCTGTAATGAAAAACTTCAGCCTCCTTTTTGCCTACCAGACAAAATCAGCAGATATCAAAGACTTCAATATATTCAACCAAAGGATCTATTTAATGTTTATAGAATCCTCTATCCCAAAATAGCACTTTATCAAGTGTCCAACAAATAAATACCAAGAGAAACCATAGCTTGGGCCATAAAATAAAACCCCACAAAATTTRGATGAATTGAAATCACACAGTGTGTTCTCCAAGCACAATGGAATCAAACTAGAAATCAGTATTACAAAGTGCTACGGGTTGGACTCTACTATCCCCAGGATTCATGGGCTGGCGACTTAGTCCCTAATATGACAGTGTTGGGGTGATGAAACCTTTAGGACGCAGGGCCTTATGGTGGGTGATTAGATCATTAGTGGTACTGCCCTTGGAAGATACTAATGTAATTCTCACTGGAATGTGATTAGCTCAAGCAAAGATGGGTTGTTATAAAAGGAGTGAGACTGGCCCCTGAATCCCTCTGGCTTCATGTCTTGCTATGTGGTCTCTCCCTCTTGCAGACACCTGTTATGGTGTCATTTGCCACAAGGTGACACAGTCAACAGGACCAGAGTACAAACTGACAGGACCATCAATCTCGAAATTTTAGCTTCCTAAACGATAAGCTAAACCAATCTCTTTATATAAAAGTACCAAGCCTCAGGT